CGATAATTCGTCCAACCACGTTAATTCGTCCAAAACCCTCGGAAAGTTGGTGTCCGAATTAACGGAAGTTGACTGTACTATTTAATTGAGAAACGAGCGTTACAGTTGATACAATTAAATTCCGTTTAAGTCTAATCCCGCCGATAGAAGTAGGAGGTTAAATAGTAGTTAGACTTTTATGAAAAGTATCGTGAGTCGTAAACCCCGTTTAAACTACTAACTTATCAAAGTATATTAACAAAACTAGACATTGATTGAGATTGCTAAGTATTGATATTTTAAAGTTTATCAGAACGGATAAGTAAATCTTACTATAGCCGCTAATTCTTTTTATTAATACCATCCTGGTAAATTAGGAAAAACTTCGGCTCTTTGGGCGTTAAATATTTTGTCATTCCAAAAAAAATAACAGTAATACTTTTATCGGTAGTAACGCGTAGAGTTTGTGCTACATCAGGTAACATAGGAATTGTGCTCCAAGTGATTCCACTTTTTGCGGAATAGTTGCTGATGTTGAGGCAATTTTAAAGTCAATATTCAAACTCTTTATCTTGACTCGAGTGCTATACTCATCAATTGTTTGACCTGAAACAAAGTAATTGATGCAACTTCTAGTTAAAAGCGGTCACAAGACAATTTTATGAGATAACGAATCGCAATGTTACTTAGAGAAAATTTTGTATCATTTATTGAAATTGTTTTTACACACATAAATTTATGTATTTGCAGACTAAAATATCTCTAGTCTATGCAGATTTAAGTATAATAAGTATGCAGCAGTCAACAAAACTGACATAACTTAATGTTATGAAACCATGACTGTAAGGAATGATCAGTAATGAGAATCTAGATAACTTTTATTTTAACAGTCGTGAGGTCATAACATGTATAAATTTGTATTGAATATCTTTATTGAGATTGTCGACTGCCTAAATTCTTACAAAGTTTCTCTGTATATCTCACAGTAATGCTTGTAAATGTTTTGGAGCTAGCTTTGTAATATACGTGTACAGTAACAATAACTTACGTCTCGGAAATTGGTTATCATAAAAATTGTTTTACCGTAAACTCTCATAAATAAGGAAGCCTATTCATCAGAGCTCTTATTTATGAGATATTTGGTTGTGGCAGTGTAGTAATACAAGGCTGTGGGAAGTTTTACGAAAGGGCGAACCGCCTGTAAAAATTTTATGAAATTTTTAAAGGCGGGTCGCACTTTCGTAAAACTTACCACAGCCTTGTATTGCCACACCTTAATACAAATGCAAAATAATTTGCAAATTGTTGTGCATGTTATCTTGTCCATGACATAACAATAATCACAAACTGCGTATATCATGCATGACATCTATTGGTTTATAATTAGGTGAGTAATAAAATAAAAAGGGCATATGGTGTCAACTATTTCGCAACATTACAAGCCTTATTTATGAGGGGTTTATTTATATTCATGATGGGCTCTATTTGTTATTATGAGAGTTTGCAGTATATCCTATTGAGTATAAATGTTGTGGACTTGCCTCAGTTCTAGACTGAGACAACTGAGTTTTGGTCTTAGTAAATTGGTCTGAACTGAGACAGTCCCAAACATAGACATAACATAAATAATGTGCCTTCATTGTTTATTAAAAGTGGCTAAATAGAAACTTTTACTCTGCCACAATACCCTATTTACTTTATGTTTTATAACCAAATAAAATAAATGTGGTATTAGTATTATCTACTCTCCATTGGTGTTTCGCTCTCAGAAAGACGAAAAACATTAGACTGATAACAAATACAATCCAGAAAGACGCCGGGCTTATAAGGAGTTTCAACACTACCAGATTGCAGTGATAAGGCTCTTACTAATGACAGATTTCAGTAACAGAGATGTTAAACTATCAGATTTTGTATTGGCAGAGCCATCAAAGATGATTTACTGTAGTAATGTAAGCGTACTAAACAATTGCTAGTCTTGTTAGATAGAGCTGATAAAAATTTGTCTGAAGGAAAAGTGATGAATAATATATATTGTTATACGATAATGCATTAAATAGCATAGAATTTTCGAAACATAAAAGACGTAAATTCAAGCTTAGAATCTGATCGTCTACACATTGATCTTACGATAAATTATACGAAAATATCTTTTATTTGTATCTTGAATAGTAACAACGTATTAAACGAAGTATATATAAGTAAAAGCAATTTACATATGCCTAATAAAGAACGCGAAAGCCATTAAATTACATGTTTGAATCGTATCAAAACCTAATTCATGTTTTTAAGTAATTTTTTTGCCATTCAACTTATTTTTTAATTCATTACAAATCAAGTACAAAGTCCCTTCATTTTACAAGACATAATATTTTCTTTCAACAATGGTAAATAACCCTTTGTAGACATTCCTCGAGCTGGCACGATGAATGCGTTTACGTTTATAAAATTTGCTTCTGACAAATGCCCGGTTGCGTGAACGTGAACAAGCTGGGCAGTTTGAAATAAGGAGGGGGTATTCTTTTAATACCAAGAAAAGCATCTATGCATTTTGATTGCATAGCCCCCACAGAAATATAAATGCATTCTGTGGCTAAGCATTTTATGAAGGACGTTGAGTTTGTTTTATGGGCGGATTCCCCTTTTTAACAGGGATATGTTGTTCGTTAAGCCAAAGCCAGCTAACGAACTGCCTCTCATCCCTTAATCTGGCTGTGCGCGAGCCGTGTTGTGAGCCGTGCTGCGGGTAGTATCGCAAGCGGCATTGTGAGCCGCATCGCAAAGCGTATTGCAGCCCGTATTGCGAGCCATGGTGGCAAGTAAGTTCGTGGCTGAAGATGTTTCGGCATCGTATTTTGTTGCATGATTTTTTTGGGAGGGTTGTTTTCACTGGTCATAATTATCTGCGCAGTCTTATTTCTTCGAGGGTGTTGTATATCTATTCTGCAAGTTGTGAAGACCTGTTTATATACAGTTTCCACTAAGCGCACACACAAACAAACCGTAGCCAATAGCAAACAGCTTGAAAAGACCCGATTTCCCTGTTCAGTCGGGGGAAGTCGGTATTTTCATTTACTGTAACGCATTTATACCAACAAGAACTTATTGCGTACCGTCCCCGACACATTTGGAAATATGCCAAACAATCCGTAATCCAATACCTAGTTCTCTCACATTGTTCGTAAACAATCGATTGGCAGGTTTTGCTCGAGGCATTTTACAGAAATGGGAAGACGACCTGAATCTTGAATATGACTGGATCAAGACAGTCTTTGTCTCTTATTGACTGCAACACAAGCGAATGAAAGTCCCTCCTCATATTTCGAACCTCCTGGGAGTCGGTTCTGGAGTCTGTCATACATTATGGATGCATGAGAAAGAAGGCATTTCAATGTTTGTTAATTATCTCCCATGGCTAACGGATGAGAATATACTACAGCTTTGGATGCTTTACCTCACTCAGTCCTTCTTCCACTCTTACGGAAGGATGATTGCGTCGCCTTCATCTGCCTACAATAATTTTGTTTGTTGTTGTTGTTGTTGTTGTTGTTGTTGTTGTTGTTGTTGTTGTTATTATTATTATTATTATCATTCTAATTTTGGGTACTGCGTTAAGGGGGGTCCCGAAATCCAAGCGTTGTGACGATCTTTTCACAAAGGTAAATTTTTAATTCGGTTACTCGAAAAAAATATTCGGAACATAGAAATAGAGGAGATCTGAAATGACGTTTCATATCTTGCTAAAAATATTCATATTAAATTATGTGCATACATTAAATTATCTAATATCATTTTGCCGTAACTATTGTTAAAGTAGCGGATGGGAGAACTTGACCTGCGAAGAAGATAACAAAGACATCAATGTATTTTGATCACAAATGCATATTTTATATGAAACGAACAAAGAAAGATATGAGGACAGTGAATTGAATAGGCGTTCGTATTGACAACAACTGAACTGCAAAAGTCCTATATTTACTTCATTATCGGATATCTTATATCAACCGGCTCTGCGAAAGTCCACAGATTGCCCACCTAACGAATAATTGAGATAGCATGATAAGCTATCGTGCAAAAATATTATCGAGTATACCGTAATTGTTTATTGCCATGAATGATGCCTGAGAAGAATTCTTGTAGGACAAAGGAGAGATTGATACTCAAGAAAAGCGAGATGTTTGAATCAACAATGGTTTAAAATCCTCTAGACGAAAGAATTGACGATTTCAGAGTTTGACGTGGCGTGGAGTAATAGGAATAGCAGATAATATTAACGTCTTGCTAATAAAAATTTTCCCAAATCGTAAGAAATGGTGATGATGTATGTCTCCATGTGCTACGACAATATTAATATGCCAAAATAGTAACAACCGTATTTGCCAACAGGAGAATGAAGCGATAACAAGTTATGAAACTGGTTTCGCTAGCTTATGTCATCTTCAGCGCGTTTATTTTTATCTTACAGTTTTGATTTTGCTTTATTATTTATAGTAATCAATTTACATATCGATCCCTGGCCATTTCTGCGAGTTCCGTAATTGTTGAGCAGCGTAATACAATTGTTGATTATACGCGTATGCTTTGGCGATAATACAATCCCCGTTCATATTTAGATCAGCAGAAGAACCGCAATGTAATTGATAATCGAAGCCTCGATTGAAAGAATTAGATTCCAAGGCCAATTACACAATTTTAGTGCAATTTTATCAATAGTGATTATTTACGAAGAAGTTTCGTAAGCTGTGACGTTGTATTATTTATTTATATTGTAATATCTCAAGTTAACAACAAAGAGTTTAGCTTCTTTATTTACCCTTTTATGCAAGGTATATAAATCAGAAACTTTGTAAACTAGATTTGATATTGTTAAAGTGTATCGATTCTATTTTACACAAATGAATTGTTTATGATTTCTCACAAACTAAAAGCAATGGATGAATAAAATTAATTTTATGCAATAGAAACAACTAATAAATAAATTATTCCTTTGCTAAATTGGTGTAAGTGATCAATGGGGAAAGTACAAATTAATTTTTCATTTCTTCTAATTGATGTGATAGCACAGCATACCAACAGCTATGAAATTACTCACAATTTGCCCCATACTCAAGCTTACTATTACATATACATGCTAAGCAAACTTCCAATAGTAGCCAGTGCAGTGTTAAAGAATGTGCCCTTGATATTGAATTTAAATCTAATACTAATACTAATACTAATGGCATGTTCACTTTATTCATTCATTATTAATTATAATTTCTTGTTTATTATTATTATTATATGTAATAATTCTGTATAGGATGATCTCCAACCTCCGACTAGGTATGCTCTGGCCTAGATAATGATTGGGACTAAGCACATTTTATTCGCAGAACATTGGAATTCTTTTCACCTGATCAATGATTAGCCAATAGAATTGTGTATGTTTGACCACGTGATAATGTATTTCAAATTGAGATCAATCATACATAAACAGTCAGGAAATGTCATAATCTGCATTAATACTAGCCTCATACCGAACAGGTACGCGATTTGGAGGCAAAAGTGTAATAGTTGGGGGTTTGTTTGGTTAATGCAATTTAGTCATAGCGACACGAGTAGCTAACGTTAACGCTTTACTCTAACGTTGGAAGTTATTTGATATTTGAAAGATGATAATCGGGAATTTAGCAATACTTACCGCTGGTTTGTGACATTCATTGACAGGCTGCGCAGCTCCGTTTCATACTATCCGGAAACCAGAGGATCAATGGGTTTGCCGTCGTCTGGGACGTTTTCTGTGATACAATATGGAGGAGAATGCCGAATAGGAATATCATCTTTATAAATTCCTCCTTTCATCTCTCCTGCCTCTCGAGCTTATTCCCTTCTCCATCATCAACTTCACGACCTGGATGGAGATCATGATCTCTGGCATTCTCAAATGCGAGCAGCAATGTACACTATCACCGATTGAATATGCTTGAACATTTGAATAAGCAAAAACTAGCATGTGTGACTGATGATGTTCGAAGTATAGAAAAGATTCAAACGGGAAATTTATGGAAGATATAGAATTATATAAGGAGGACTAGCCCGGTATGCTGCTGCTGGAGAAATGTGAAGGGAGATGCCGCACATAGAAACGAGAACTTCAGTGTCAATAATTTTTTGACTAATATTTACTCTCGTTGAGACGACGGTTGGTGTTGAAAAGTAAAAGGGGAGATCTAAGGAAGATGCATTGATAAGAAGAGGTATCTGCTGGCAGAGCAAGCCGAAATACTTAGAAAGGATATAAGGAAAGATTCGCCGAATGCATTGAATCTGCTTATGTGCCTTAAAATTCCGATTTTGTCTAGGAATGTTTCGGCTATCTTTGGGTCTCCAACGGGTTTTCATTTAATATTTAATTTTCGAGGCTTGCGGTCTGTTTTGGACTCTATAGCCCAATGTGGTAATCTTCGACGGCAACCTTAGTTTGAAAATGTAGTTTACTTCATTTTTTGGTGAGTAACTTGGATGGCAGTAATTAACACGATAGTACACTGACATAAGTATGTATGCATGTTATAGCATAGCTGAAGACAAGGATCACGTTAACGATAGAAAAATGATCTTGGTCGCTAATCACTGTTGAATGAGTAAGTTGGTGTCGGCAATGTCGATGCGTCAGTGTGTGCAAAAGCTGACGGCAGAGACACATGTTACGATGGCAATTCTATAACTTGTATTTTCTAAACGATCATACGGCGAAGATGAAGTTTTTGAGTATTACAAACATGTCGCGGAAACAAGAAAGCACTTAAACCTGGACGTCCAGATGTTGCCAAAGGATATAACTCCAGACTATGTGAAAATCATCAACGATAAACCATGTATTCTTTTTTGCAAAATACATGGTTTTAAAAGGTTTGACACCTATACATGTTCTCGATCGATCTTTTGTGTAAAAATGCATCGTCCTATGCGGGTACATGATTATCCCGAATATTTTACTCTGCAAACATCAGTAATTTTAGATATACTCTATGGCGATCGGATCGAACAGTAAACTTACGACCAGAGAAAGTTTTTGTCGAACGGGATTATTCAATCAGTATTCTAGCTTTCGGCAGGACTGGGCTTGCTCAAGCTGCAGCACCGAATTCGGTGTTGTGGTAAGTCACATTTTCCCTAATTTATAACAACTGCCGTCATTTCGATAACAAAAAGAATACCGTTTCGGCTTAATCGTAGTATAGCTCCAATTAACATAGTAGATAGAGTAAATTTGAACACAAATACCATATCCTATTGGAGTAATGCTTGATAGCGAAAGAAATTATATCCATCAGTATCATCCTAATGAGTTTCAATCACGTTCCAGTCTCACAACAGACTCGAATATTTACGTGTCACTGAAATTCGTATATCTAGAATATGTAGCTGTTTTAATAATAGAATTTGGTAGCGTCAATGATCATATAAATTATTTTAATGATTATCATGAAGGCAAATATAATCAGTTGTCAACCATGCTAAATTCAAAGTAAATAATGCAATGAAAAAACTGTCATAAAGTTATTGTTAGAGCATTTCTTAAACTCAACCCCCTCATGTCTTTCTCTATTCAGAACGGAGTTTACTAAGGCTTATTATTTTTAGTACAAGTATGTGGTATGATTGTGTGACTATCTTAAGAGATAAATAACGCAAACAGTAACCCATAAATCGATATGAAAATACGTGTCTTAATAAGCGACATTGTTATAAGTGATAAGAGCGAATAAAGTGTGCTTATTAGTCGAGTCATTATCTGGGTCGGAACAGTTGTAATCAATCGACAGATCAGTAGCGTCCATGGCCACAGGAAGTGTATCACCATTCCATTTAATTCTAAAATGGGCTGCCTCACACTAAAACTCAAACGCAACGAATTGTGTACGGTTGTTGTTGTATATAGAAGAACATAATGCCTTAACGCTAAAAATGAAACATCAGCATGTGACAATATACTATTCGCATTCAGTGTAAAAACGATAAATTAAGATCTACAATCCGTATCAAAAAAAGAAACTACTTGAATACACCAGTGGCGAAGCAACAATCCTATTCTATTCTAGTTTAACAAAGGTCAAATTTATCGAGATTAATTGTACGGGCTATAATATACAAGTAAATGTCTCTCATCGTTATTAAAAGTCTGACACTTTATATGCATATCACCTTACACTGACTCGTGTCTTAGCAAAAGATTTTCCATGCCCGAATGCTTCGACAAACCAATTATTTTGCATACCTGTAAAATGGTTATCAAGCTTTTTAAAAATAAACATTCAAACACGCAATTGGTATAACATACAAACCCTTCAAATATACTTAAATACACAATGCCCCACAACACAAATATTCGTTACGGTCGTGTCACAAACTTGTATAATATTAATTCTCTCTATCCCTACCGTCCCAACTCAAATATGGAAGCTTTAATGCTTGGCCGATGGTATAAAGAACTAAACAATGATCGAGTATCATTTAAATTTTATCAAAAAGCCGCTAAGCAAGGTTATCCCGTTGCACAATGTTACGTCGGTGTATGCTATAACAATGGAATATTGGCAGAAAAGAACGAAAAGAAAGCAGTCGAGTTATATCAAAAAGCAGCCAAGCAGGGTTACGCCGTTGCAGAGTATAATCTCGGCGTATGTTATTATAACGGAACCGGGATTGAAAAAAATGTCTACAAGGCATTCGAGCTGTATCAAAAAGCCGCTACGCAAGGCCTGAGCAGTGCACAATATAATCTTGGTCTATGCTACGAAAAGGGAATAGGGACAGAGAAAGACGTTCTCAAAGCCATTGCGTTGTATCAAAAAGCCGTTGAACAGGACCATGTCCTTGCCCATTACAGACTCGGCGCGTGTTATCAGTTTGGAGCTGGTGTTACCGTAGACTATCAAAGAGCAGTACAGCTTTATAAGAAAAGTGCCGAGCGAGGAAACGTTTTTGCTCAGTACAATCTTGGGTGGTGCTATCGGCATGGATTAGGTGTAGACCAAAACGAACAAACTGCGTTTAATTTATTCCAAATGGCTGCGGAACAAGGGTTTGCTGAGGCACAATTTAATCTCGCTATATGCTATTGCAATGGTATTGGCGTTAAAAAAGACGTGATAGTTGCTGTTCAGTTGTATCAAAAACTGGCCAGCCAGGGACATGCTTTTGCTCAATATGCTCTCGGTAAATGTTACAAGAAGGGTATTGGGCTAAAAAAAAATGACCAAAAGGCTATAGATAAATATCAAAAGGCTGCTGAACTAGGGTTCTTCAAGGCACTATACTGTCTTGGCAAGTTTTATCAAAGCGGAACTCTAGTTGAAAAGGATAATCAGAAAGCAGTTATCTTTTATCAGAAAGCTTCTAAACAAGGTTACGTTCCTGCACAATACAAACTTAGTAAATGCTACTACTATGGAATTGGCATAGAACAAAGTAATCAAAAAGCATTTCAATGGTTACAGGAAGCTGCTAAGCATGGTTACGCTAAAGCACAATATAGGCTTGGTATGTGTTACTTTGAAGGTGTTGGCATAGAAAAAGATTTTCAAAAAGCAGCCAGGTTAATTCAAAATGCAGCTGAACAAGAAAATTTTCTTGCTATACTTACACTTAGTTTGTGTTATAATATTGGAATTGGTGTTGAAAAAAGTTGTCTAAAAGCAGACGAATTATATCAGAAAGCAGCTAATGTGGACTCATTTAGCGTGTAATATACAAGTTAGCACTAATAAATTAAAGTAGAAACACATCCAGTAAATTGTTACTCGTCATATTCGATATATAACGCAGACTACAGTTCTGATCCTTTGCCGTTAAATCAAGAAATTTCGCAAATTGAGTTTCATTATACAGGATATTATACAAACCATATATTATATATCAAATAATTAAAACTATTTATGCATTAGATTTGAATATACAATTCATATTTATAAGGTGCAGTAAATACTGTTAGTATTATGCTTCAGGTGTATTTTTAAAGATAAAGGTATTTATATTCAAGTAATGAATAAAATCCTAGCGTGGCTTGCTTCTCCTTTCACACTTTACGTCATTAAGACTATGTGAATCCTTTATTAATATTAAGACGCGCTAATTTCAAGATTATATGCTTTACTACATTATACAATCCTATGTTAATTTTTATTTTCAGGCAAGAAAAAGTTGCATCATTTATTTTAACATCCATTTCCTTACCCTTTCTTCTGGTTCTGTTTGTTCTACAGTACATCTACAGTCGAATAATTTGTTGGATAATTAAAATTTATATCGGACTCTTTTATAATGTAATATTTAAACTTTCAACTGACGTATTAGTATAGTACTTTTGGTTACTACCAAAAATTCGGTATATCAGGACAATTTTTTTAATGCTGGATTTGTTCCATAAAATTTCCTGACCAAGTATATCGAAAGGCCTGTTAAACAGAATTTTTGTTATAGGGCTTATTGGACTATTTTAAGATAAATAATAACGCATTACTCCTGAACATTGATGCCATTGAACAAGAATTTGTTCTATAATATGTAACCTGCAGATTAAACTGAATCCTGTCTCAAAAGAGATATTAAATAGACATTCGTTCTTTATTCGACTCGTAATAAAATCACAATAAATTTCCTTACAACTATCTAGTAAATCCTCTAGAGAGAGAAAGAGAGAAAGAGAGAGAGAGAGTAACAGACAACATTGAATATTAATATCTGCAGTGTAAACTGTATTCTTGCCGCCAAGAACTACGAGACAGTCTAATAATGGTTCGCATTATGGAATACAGAGATTTTCTTATAAAAGTAGCAGTCCCATTTCGCATTCGTGAACATCCTATTTCGGTTGGAATGTTTATCAAAAGTAAAACATCTTTCTACTACGAAATTACCTTGACAAGTTTCTTACATTACTACTTTTATATTCCGAAAATTCTCCTTTCGTCGCTGTCTCTGCGGTATATATTACGTTAGATCGAATCTGTTGTATGTCAGATCAGAATTTTGCGTCGCTTCCAAACTGACATGTGTCAGATGAGAATAATAGAAAATTAGCAATAATAATAAATATGACAATGTTTTATTGAATAATTCTGATCTGACATATGTTGCTTCGGAATTGACATAAATTCCGATCTGACATACAACATTATTATTATTATAACAAAACAGCAATGATCTTGTGTAACATACGCCAGGAACATGCTAATGGGAAAGCTCGCGAACAAGAAGACGCAAATCTCGGCCAGGCACGTTTTGAAAATTAGGCGGAAATGTGTCATTCGAATTTAAAAAGTACTAATTACAGAGAATCGTATTGTAGTAATATTAAATTTTATTTTATTTTATTTTATTTTATTTATTTTATTTTATTTTATTTTACAAATGTTTTCCAAGCTCTATCTTTTTCTTTAAAGTTTTCTCAGCACTATAAATAAATCCATCTAGGATTCCGGCAACAGTGAATATTCCTCCAACAATAGCGCATATTCCAGTCAAAAAATGAGTAAAGCTCTTCTGGTGTTCTCTATTGATTATCAGCATTGGCGAAATATCATAATAGAAAAATACGCCTACCAAACAAACGTGAAAAGGTGAAAAGACATGTGAGGTAGCAAAGAACTATAATATACGATAGGTACCTGGCAATCCACCGTGTTTACTATGCATATGTGCCTTGTTATCGTCTTGTTTCTCGGCAAGATTTCTCTCATATTCAGTCACAGAGTACTGGTTAGTATATACACTTTCTCCATTAAGGTAATGAAACTGGGTAGCGACGACCTTTACAAAGTATTGAAATTGATAATTTGCTGTATGAATGTAATATGAAAGTATGATATGAAAGGGTATTAATGGTAACATTGTTTTAACGTGAATTATTTAGAAATTCATGAAATGAAACCGTCCCGTCACAAGACTCACCACTGTCAACAACCTTACTCGTCCCGTCCAAGGGGTTAACAACACCGTCTGCAAAAGGGCCATAACTCATATGATGTATAATATGGGTAAATTCATGTTTTACGTTGTCGGAAAGAAAAGGCTGTATATCATGGACGTGCATATGATTCCGTTCGAATGATTTCCCCGGGGCAAAATGGAAATTACCAGTCACTTTCTTCACTCTCACTGACCCAGCAAGATTGCAGCCCTCCCTTGATTGTTTTTGTATCTTTTCTATCCATCCTTCTTTTATACACTTAGAAGAGAAGATTCAGGTTAATCAGTATTGACTAGAAAATTAGCATATAGACAGTTTCTACCATTTCCCCATCACAACAATCAATTTACCTGTTCAACTCCTTCTGGATTATTAAAACTCCAACCTTTCTTAACATAAGCCTCCTTAACGTCATCACAAGTATTACAGCAACCGCTCTCGGGAGGCTCACCACCATAACAATTTCCACAATCTGCTTTATCGGCATCTGTTCCTGTTGAGTTTTCCTTAGAAACTAGTTTCTCAAAATCTTTTGTGCTATCTCCAAGCTCTGAATCCGGGACAAGTAATAAAGTGTGTCGAAAGGTTTGGATAAATCATACATATTAGAATTTGCCGTTAGATCAGTTCAATGTGGCTGTATTAATACATTCTCTAGAAATGATGTTACCTTTTGCTGTTTCAGTTTCAATGAATGCTCCAGATGGATCTAAACGTGTCTTTTGTATCTCATGTGCCAAATCATTGTGTACCTCTCCTGCTGCATCTAAGACGTCCACACTTAATACTTCCCACAAAAAAAAAAAGACAAAGAGAGTAATCCGATCAATTAGGGTAACAATTGCCAATACAAATATTTTCCTCCCCCCGATTTCTCTACGTGAGATCACTTACAATAACAAGGTATTTTAGGAAACGTTATATTAACGTTGATGGTCAACTTTGCCTTCCTTCCTTTGTCGACAATCAGCTCAGTCCGCATTTCTGGTGTACGATAATCAGCAAATTCAGATAACAATAAATATAATATTATAAATGCGCTTAAAATAGTTACTGCATGGGGAAAAGATTATACAGTTAGCGAGAAAAAAGCCCTAAACTTTCGATAAACACAGATTTACGGAAACACCTCGTGCACGTTCTACGTCGATCTGACTTACATGCAGCTCCATAATAGGTCTTGACTCTAAAATCATCAAGCGTCTTTGCATATGCGTCGAGATTTTGGAGTCTGCTTAATAGTGAACCGTGTTTTGCCATTATTTGTGCGAGTGAGACTGAGTGGAAAAAAATCTTGACAAAATCAAGCTTCAGGGGTGACCCTACTGCCCGTTTTTGGTTTCATGACAATGAGGGGATATGCAGTATTCAAAATGGCAATAAAACCGAACGCATGCGCCACTGATCGATTAAAGTAAATCGGTAAACTAATTATTTATCCAAGGGAAAAAAATAAGGGTTGAATTCGTCAGCCTTTGGATATGGAAAGCTGTCATACTTAAACAGTGATACACTCTAACCCATAGTTAGGTTACTGACAATAATGCAAAGAGCAGTATTTTGTTATAAAGTAATCAGCTTTGACAACACACTGTTAACAAATATAATAATAACCTATTTCTTTGAACACTACAACGCACATTTATGATTCACACTCTATTATATTACTTAATCACACTGTCACTGCTATTGGATATGAAATTTACGGCCGCTAAAACCAAAGATTTTAGTCTTTTCAAATGTTTTCGAATATTTAGTATAATCCTGAGGAAGCTGCAATGAGCGAAAGGTGCTAGCAAAGGGTGCTGGAAACATTGAACGGACATACTTGTTTTCCCCATCTATAGACTCTTTGTTATCTAGCTGCACAAGGACTTTCAATTTGTGATACATCTTAAGGAGTTTTGATATCATAATAAAGCCAAAAAGAACACCATTCAGGTGGATCTTTACTACCGATAATTATTGATAATCTTTAAAATGCAATCAATAGTCGAATACGTGGCAGCAACTCAAGGGATCAGTGAGAATATATACGTACGCATATTGATGTATCAATTATTATTATAAGAGTTATCATTGTACTATTCATCTCGAATTATTAATACGTTGATAATAACGCAATTAGTGTTTATATTAGCGTATATATATTTTTAATAAGAAACAAAACTGTATAATGAAAATAGTCGCATTTTGCCCTTTGGTTATTCCCATTACTACGAAACGTTAAAGGGTTGAATCATCTGATCTTGTTATTGAGGAATTTTATTTTATATTCTTTTCCTGTTTGTCTTATATTTGAAGTCAAATAGTCTCCTACGAAAACAGGACAGAGGCAGTTTATCGGATTTTATTAGAATGCTAACAAAATTCTGAAAATAACAACTAAAGATGGCTCCTTTCTCCCAGGTAAGTATTTCCTTATTCTACGCGGTCTAATAAAAGTCGTCGACGGTGTCGAATATTTTAGCCTGTTTTCAAACTTTCAAAATTGACCCCGATACATACTTAATTAGATATCACTTCAATTGACTGGCCATTGTCATGCTATACGAGTTCCAAATCAAAATACGAGTTATATTATTAAAACGAGTCTTGTATTACAGCGTTGTTAATAATGTGGAAATTATATATAACGATTCTGTGAATTAACTTTGAAGCTACTATTGTTCGTACAATTTTTTAATGTCATCCCGTGAATGACCCCCTGACCGGTATAGTATATGCCACAGACGTCATAATACAACCACGGCGTCGAATAACGAATGTGATGTTTACTTGTCCTGGCTTGGTGTGTCCAATCACAATCAATTATGAAAGAGAATCCAAAAAGTACACCATCCAAGATAATTTGTAAAACCAAAAAAGAATAAGCGAGAGCTTCGTTTATTTAAAGGTTATACAAATAATTTAGCGCATCGTATTGGCTTGCGTAAACCCGCTGTGGATGAAATTACATGTTTCGTAACATCTAAATTTTGTTTTGGTACACGATGCCTAATTATAAGGAGACGTAATTCCTTACAAATTTGTCAGTTGTACTCTTTGTTATTAATAGTAAATAGTTATCTTTTTCGCTGAGATTCGATTAGTTTAAATTAATAATACAAAGAAAAAAGACTTGCAGGAAACCTCTTTATATCAATCACTGTATATACCGGTTTTTGCTATAACGGTCCAAATCTCAGGAACGGTTCTTAAATTATGACTATGGAGTATTGTTCTTTTATACCAGTTTCTCTTAAAATTCCCGTGACTGGGGGCTGATCGGTATAAAGACGGTTTCCTGTATTATAAAACGTTATTCAGAAGATACTTGGGTCATGAACTAATCTAAAAGCGTTAGACTTTGTTAACAAACGAGTTAATTTTAAAGTTGAAACTGTAAGAAAAATTAATGATAATATCTGATAGATAAGTTTTGATGCTTGCGTGTCTTTGATTTAAAGATGCGCAACGTTTTGTGACTTGCACGTCTAAACAAAAAAAGTACTGTGTTTACAGAAACAAATAAAAAGACAATATGTCATGTCTCTAAATGTTTGCGTAAATGTTACCGTATTTCGCCTACCGTTTATTTGAATGTCAATCTGACTCATAACTTATTCAGTAATAACGAATTAAGAACAAAATTAAACATAACTAAGACATCCACAGTAACGACAGTAACGATATTGTCTTGAATGCTCTCATTATTTCCCGTCTCCTGTTGACTCTCTCTTATCTTGTGTTATATTATTCATCGTAATTCGGTTTTTCTGTTCCCACAGTTATAAAAAGTTTCTTTTTGAACATTAAATAATTTATCACTCATCAGACATAGTAAAAGCTATGTTCCGTCTTGGCACGTCCGGAATTTACTTTCCAGGGATCTTTGCCGTATATCCGTTGCACTATAATCATTATACATTACTCAAAATTTTGATCCCTGATTTACAGTACCACGTGAGCATTAATATTTGATTATTAACGGTCAATTTATTAATGTGTTGGATTATTTATTCCGCTTCCCACGCCACGCTCGCTTTTATTTCTACGTCAGATTTGGTTTGGTTAAATGACAATAGCGAGTGATACAATCGGTTTCTGCAAGTCACATCAGTATGATATATGCATTCAGTCATTACGATAGACCATTTATGTGCATAGAATGAAAAGTATTGTTCGTGATATGCCGATCGCCTCAGTTGTATAAAATTAACCCGATGCACCCGCCCGCTGAAGCATCGTTCAATCATAAAACAAGAAATTATATATTGATACACAAAAAAAGCCCACGCACGTTTATTCCGAGCTGACAAAGAACCACCAGAAACCAGAACAAAGAAGAACTCCCCACCCCCTACCGAACAAGGCAGGTTCAGTCGGTTATTTTTTGCATTCAACTGACCAAATAGAAAAACAATATTTAAGGTATAATCGAATGTTTATACAACCTTTTATCCACATGGCATAACTTTATTAGATATCAATAATAGTATTGATGTCTTAACAAAAATCCCCAAGTTTTAACAAAAATCCCCAAGCTTTAACAAAAAATCCTCCCCAAGTCTTAACAAAAATCCTCCCCAAGTCTTAACAAAAATCTCCCAGTTTTAACAGTTTGCCTTTTCCTCTTCCTTCCCTCTTCTTTTTGTCGTTCATAATTCGGTTTTATGTATAAGCACTATTACATAGAATACAAAAAAAGCAGTCATAATCATATAACATTCGACTCTGTTACTAGACAAATTAGTTAATTTACTGGCTTGTGCTTACTGTTTATATCCGGCTTATTTCATGCATCTCAATTTAGCACTAATTTAGGACTGGTGCGTAACACCATCGTATTCTTAATTGCCATACCCCCATCTAATAGAAATACCGTCAATTCCCAACCCCTTCCTGAACACATTGAATATCTATCCCCTTTATGCTTCCGAACCACTCCTCATTCTTTTTTTTTTCCTCTTCCCCCCCTAATAACATTCATTTGTATGCATATACAGTACGATAACCTTCTATCTTATTCTTTTTACCATTAACATCAAGCATAACGCGTTCTCGCTTACACGAAGTTTTTACATCTCCAGTTTCCCACACAAAAAATACGTTTAGGCGAAAAAAAAAGAAACCAAAATCTCACCATGCGCCTAATCCCAAAACGCATAAGCTCTCACTTTGAGGCTCCCTCGCCAAAACTGAAAAAGCACTCGAGAACCACATATCACGAAGTATCTTCAGACGACGAAATATCTGACGATTACGATGAAGCAATCACTCCCCGCTCGTCAGGCTCGGCAGCGTCGTCGGACAATGAAATATCTATCGACTACACGGACAGCACGGGGAACTTTGTCAAGACAATGAGGACGATAAAGAAGGAGCTTCGAAGAACCGCCATGATGGACACGATGGATATACATACGATAATCGAGCAGAACGAGAAGATCGATGTCGAAACGATAATTAGCGGAAACTTGTCAAACATACAAGAACGTTCTGTCAAAGCTTTAAAGGACCGTGCTATCTACATGGCATCGAGAATAAAACAGCAACTTCCATCGATTTTCAATTCTATTGCGCTCCGAAATCCGTCGTATTGTGACCTTCCGTCTTCTGAAATTTCGTCCTCGTCGCTTACAAAGACTATAGCGGATCGTCTCTATACATATTTTTATCTCACTTACGCTCTGGATTCGTCTCACCCTCTTCGCATTTCTCACATTTCCCGGCTCTCTGACCAATTATCTCTTCAAGGGGACACTGATCTATCTAAAAAACGGGGTGGTGTGGAAGCATATTACGCAGTCCGGTATACGCTGGACATGTTCTTTAGACATAGCATTCTACCGTCGCAAAAGACGATTATGGTCGAGAGGGCTAGGGCAGTGATTGAAGGTTGTATGGACAGCGAGGAAAAATTGAGCAAGAGCGAAAGAGAATGCATGTACGCGTTTCATAAATTAATGAGCGGGATGAGGTGGGATAAGCTGGATGTTCAGCTGTGCGGAGTTGGAGAATGAGTCGATTGTGAGCTGGGAAAAATTGTGGTTGGGATCGAGCAGGAAGAGAGACGTCGGGGGAAAAAGAAAAGGAGAAAGTATCGAACCAAATCCATCAATGTTCATGGTTTTAGCACCACCTTCCTTAAAGACATTGCAAGAATATCTGCTTGCTTTTTATTGGCAGCTCGATATCAATCAGAAGAGAGAAGGGAAATTATCCTCAGTGGGTATATACATTATCCGTTGGGCTAGTATATGCCGCACGAAAGTGAA